GGTGGGATGGCGGTGGAAGGGACTTTGGAGTGGTGGGGGTTGGGGGGGGGGCAGAGCTATACCAGTTTTTGCCCCCCTAAATGTATCAGATATAACCCCTCCCCCTCTGTATGGAGTAGTTCGGCCGGCGCTGTCCTCTAAAGGGGACCTGTCACGACATGACGGCTGAATTGCTGACTTGAGGCCATCATCCTCATCCTCCGTGTCTGGACTGTGAAGGAGAGGCTCAGTCTGACAGGTTCTCTTTGAGACATGAAGAGGATCTCAGATCATCGCTCACATGGGCAGCGAGGACGCTGTGACATCACCGCCCCCTGATCACACACAATGATGTCACTTCCTGTGCCACGGTGACAACGCTCACTTACTATACTGTGTCCATAGAGGAGGAGCGTTGTCACCTTGGCCCTAGAAGCATGTTAGGACTACAGAACCTCCCCCTCTCCTCTACTACATAACAATGGCGGGTTACAGTAAGACACTTCCTGTGCTAGAGTGACAACTCTCACTCACTCTACTTTGTTTATAGAGGAGCAGCGTTGTCACCTCGGCCCAGGAGGCTTCCAATGGGATATTTAACAGACTGAAGGGAGCCAATAGGAGAAGGTCATGTTTAGGGTTGAACCCTCCTTACCATGTGTCTCCAGTTCACGCACCAGAGCGTGCGTGTCAAAGGTCAACCTCCTCTGTTCCGGTGACGTTATCTCCACCCTCCGGACGTCGTAGCTGGACAGGAGCTCGGATGTAGTAGACAAGCCTGGAATGATCAGCAGCCAATCAGAATAGAGATCGAGGAAGAGAAGTCATACTCTGTATTATATTGGAGGGCAATCTGCTTCTATTTTGCCTTCTCTGGTACCCCCACCCCGTCCTCCCCTCCCCCCCTTGATGATGACGTTTTTATTACATAGCTTATTTGTGACGGGACCCCGATCTTTACGGGTCATGTGACGGGACCCCGACCTTTACGGGTCATGTGACGGGACCCTGACCTTTACGGGTCATGTGACGGGACCCCGACCTTTACGGGTCATGTGAAGGGAACCCGACCTTTAGGGGTCATGTGACTGGACCCCGACCTTTACGGGTCATGTGACGGGACCCCGAGCTTTATAGGTCATGCGACGGGACCCCGAGCTTTACAGGTCATGCGACGTGACCCCGAGCTTTACAGGTCATGCGACGGGACCCCGAGCTTTACAGGTCATGCGACGGGACCCCGAGCTTTACAGGTCATGTGACCGGACCCCGAGCTTTACAGGTCATGTGACAGGACCCCGAGCTTTATAGGTCATGTGACGGGACCCCAGGCTTTATAGGTCATGTGACCGGACCCCGAGCTTCACCATATCATCCAATAACAAAGTATTTCTAATGACACGTCAGTGATCTTTAACCCTGCGGTGTCTGATGTCGCCCCCCTCCTTCTCTGCGGTCACCCTGACTCAAGCAGGAGTTTGGAAAGTTTGTAGACAGTGGTGACCCCGGTGACAGCCGCACCCAATCAGATCACACACAGGCCACCTTACCTCTCCTGCAGGCGCTATGATTGGTCAGTCTGGCACACTGAGGGTGGCTGATCAGCAGCTGGCAGAGGAGTCTGGACATCCCTGAGCCCCTCATCTCCTCCCAGAGAGGATCAGATCTCTGCTGTGTGTGTGTGTGATCGCCTTCCTCCTGCTTCACTTCCTGTCTGCCGCTCTGCATCCTGGGAAATGTAGTCTCTTCATTGACATCTGTGTAGTAGTGAGCACAGCTCGGCAGTTTATGATGTGGGACCACAGGTGTCAGCATGCAGCCGTGCAGCACTGAGGGGGAGACATTCTTGATACTGTGCTGTATTCAGATTATTGTCTGTGCCAGTAAAGAGAACCTGTCATTGAAACAATAAAAATGGACTCACACTTTTGCATTTTTTGCTTGATAAATTTTTCATTAAAAACAAAAAAGACGCATCAAAAAGCATTTCAGTACATGCGTTAAGACGTGCACCAACGTGCATCATGTCACATGAACACGCATCATGTTTCGCATCAACATGTGTTGTAGTGCATTATACAAAATTGCGTTGCAAAACGCATTAAAAGTACACAACAATGCATGTTAATACAGTGCCACATTAAAATGGGTATTTCTATTGGAACCAGACATGTGATTAACGTTTATCCAGGAGGTGGGGAGCTCACGGTCCTGCTTGGGATGGTGGAGTTCCTGCATGGAATGGTGGGGGTCCTGCTTGGAATGGTGGGGGTCCTGCTTGGGATGGTGGGGTTCCTGCTTGGGATGGTGGGCATCCTCCTTGGGATGGTGGGGTTCTGCTTGGGATGGTGGGGGTCCAGCTTGGCATGGTGGGGGTCCAGCTTGGCATGGTGGTGTTCCTGCTTGGGATGGTGGGCATCCTCCTTGGGATGGTGGAGTTCCTGCTTGAAATGGTGGGGGTCCTGCTTGGGATGGTGGGGTCCGGCTTGGCAAAGTGGGGTTCCTGCTTGGGATGGTGGGGGTCCTGCTTGGGATGGTGGAGTTCCTGCTTGAAATGGTGGGGGTCCTGCTTGGGATGGTGGAGTTCCTGCTTGAAATGGTGGGGGTCCTGCTTGGGATGGTGGGCATCCTCCTTGGGATGGTGGGGGTCCAGCTTGGCATGGTGGGGTTCCTGCTTGGGATGGTGGGAGTCCAGCTCGGCATGGTGGGGGTCCAGCTTGGGATGGTGGGGGTCCAGCTTGGGATGGTGGAATTCCTGCTTGAAATGGTGGGGGCCCTGCTTGGGATGGTGGGGGTCCAGCTTGGCATGGTGGGGTTCCTGCTTGGGATGGTGGGAGTCCAGCTCGGCATGGTGGGGGTCCAGCTTGGGATGGTGGGGGTCCAGCTTGGGATGGTGGAATTCCTGCTTGAAATGGTGGGGTTCTGCTTGGGATGGTGGGGGTCCTGCTTGGCATGGTGGAGTTCCTGCTTGGAATGGTGGGGATCCAGCTTGTGATGGTGTGGGTGATGGTGGCGTTCCTGCTTGGGATGGTGGAGTTCCTGCTTGGGATGGTGGAGTTCCTGCTTGGGATGTTGGAGTTCCAGCTTGGGATGGTGGAGTTCCTGCATGGAATGGTGGAGTTCCTGCTTGGGATGGTGGAGTTCCTGCTTGGGATGTTGGAGTTCCAGCTTGGGATGGTGGGGTTCCTGCTTGGAATGGTGGAGTTCCTGCTTGGGATGGTGGAGTTCCTGCTTGGGATGGTGGATGTTTGAGGTCCTGCTTGGGATCGTGGAGTTCGTGCTTGGGATGGTGGAGTTCCTGCTTGGGATGGTGGAGTTCCTGCTTGGGATGGTGGAGTTCCTGCTTGGGATGGTGGAGTTCCTGCTTGGGATGGTGGAGTTCATGCTTGGGATGGTGGGGGTCCAGCTTGGGATGGTGGAGTTCCTGCTTGGGATGGTGAAGTTCCTGCTTGGGATGGTGGAGTTCCTGCTTGGGATGGTGGGGTTCCTGCTTGGGATGGTGGGGGGTCCTGCTTGGGATGGTGGGGGCCCAGCTCTGTCCTTTATTTCCCTGAAAATAACTTTTCTGTTGATTGGTGATGTTCTGGCCGCACATCTACAGGGATGCAAAGGATGCCGGTGTTCTCTCTCTGCAGCACTGGTATTACAGAAGGAAACCCCTCCCACTTGGCGGGCGGTTTGAGGAAGTTACAATGCCGGTGATGTGTCGAAAGTGCGAACTTATCGAGTTGTGGGACCGCATTACTTCCGGTTTCCTCAGAACTACGAGGTTTTTACACAAAACATGTTGTGCACGAGCGCCATCCACGGCATTGCCCTATAGACATAGACCACAGCAATAAAGTAATAAAATGATGTAGGATGACAGTAAGCCAGCACGTTCTTTATCTCCGGTGCCCCACTCAATATGGCCGCCGCTTGAGTGGGGCACCTGAGATAAAGAACGCGCTGGCTTACTGTCATCCTACATCATTTTATTACTTTATTGCTGTGGTCTATGTCTATAGGGCAATGCCGTGGATGGCGCTCGTGCACAACATGTTTTGTGTAAAAACCTCGTAGTTCTGAGGAAACCGGAAGTAATGCGGTCCCACAACTCGATAAGTTCGTAGTTTTGATCGATCACCGGTTACCTGTGTCAGTATCTACAGGACAGAAATAGGGAGGAGTCTGCAGTGACATCATCACATTGTACATAACTGACCAGCGGAGGAATCATTTATAAATAAAAGAATAATTGAAAGGTTAATATAAAAGACACAAATGAATGCATCTCTGTAACCATTGAAGATGAACTCCGAGAATGATCTTTTCTTAAAGGAGAACTATGGGGTCAGGGCTTTTCCCCATAAATCTCCTCAGGGTCACGGGAGGACATAAACTAGCGTCCTCCCGTCACCCTAAGCTCAGTATACCGCCAGCTACAGCTCGCGGTATACTGAGACGCCGCAGCCGGGACGGATCCCGACAATTATGTCTGGATCCACCCAGCTGCATGAGTGACAGCTGGCTCTGCCTATCTAGAGGCAGAGCCAGCTGTACCCGCCCCGTCCGTTCCGCTAGTCAGCGCTGGAGGATTGGAGTGGGGATGGTGGTAATCCCTGCAGGGAGTCGTGAGTGACAGTCACGGCTCTCTGCAGGGATAGATCGAGAAGTGAGCGAGCGCCGGTATGTATTCGCTCTCTTCCCGATCTATTGAGCCGATCTGTGACCGTTTCATTGTGACAAGTTGGCTCAGATTATGAGGCTGAGTGAAAATCACTTGTCTCATACTTCTCCTTTAAAACTTCCATCGGCCCGGCTTGTTACATCCAGTTCTTCATATGTCACATCTGGAGGGCTGCCGGGGATGCAGAAATACACTGTAGTAGCCTGTGCTACGTACACTCAGCGCTGGTCTCTTCCGGGGTAGGGACAAGACTGCTAAGTGTTTCTTATCTGCAAAAATCAGGTCTCTTAAGCAGCCAGACAGGGGCAGCACAAGGAACCAATCAGTTGTGCTGAAGTGCTGACAAGGGACATCCTGATAGGAGGAGAAAGCGGAGTGACAGAGAGATAAGCTCATCAGCATGCTGCTTCTCCTTTCACTGTCCAATCACAGTCTGGGGGAGGGACAAGACCTGTAAGTGTTACTGTGCTTCAATGGTGAACATTCAGATCTCCTGCCCGGCCAGATACTGCTGTGCTGCTAACAAGAGACATGCTGATAGGAGGAGAGAACAGTGTGATGGAGAGATGAGCTCATCAGTCTGCCGCTTCTCCTTTCACTGTCCAGTCACAGGCTGGGGGAGGGACAAGACCTGTAAGTGTTACTGAATTGCAGCAGAGAGATATCAGGTCTCTTGCCCGGCCATGCAGGGCTGTGCAGAGCTGTGTCAGTCTCAGGACTGGATGGATCAGAATGCAATCCAGTTATTAGTTCCCTTGTATGTATTTAGCTCTTTGTCCGGAGTTCAGCTTTAAAAGTTTGCCCGTACCCCTCCCCCCCGCGCCTCGGTTTGTATCGGTCATTAAGGGTTCCTCGCCGCCGGTGTTGGTTGATATTTCGCCCTCTCCGTACAAAACACAATCTGTTTGCGGTGACAAGCCAAGAACTGGGAGGGAGACTACGTTCAATCCGCAACCAGCCGCAATTTTCTACAAAACACCAAACAAAATAAAGTTTTCCTTTTGTTGCAGCCATGGCAACAGAATTCCGGAATTTCTCAGAATCCTGAGCCAGGTGATTGGCTGGCTGCTGCTCTCAGAGGAAGAAAATAAGAGAAGCTCATTGGCTGGGTTCACAGACACTATAAAAAGCTGAACAGGTTCAAACAGTTTGCGGTCCTCTCTAATGCAAAGACCAATCCTCATACTATGACTATGCAGCATTACATTGTGAGCCTTCTGGGTGTGTGCCAATGACAGCCAAGCACACTCCTTGGGGGTGTGGCCTTGACAGCTTTGAAGGATACCAACCCAGAAGAGGACCTATGATGTTGGAGGATGTGGAGACCACCTCTGGAGTGTGAAGATGCTGAGTAGTCCTTTAGGACATTCTTAAAGGAGAACTATGAGGTCAGTGCTTTTCACTCACCTCATAGTTCTAGCCGACCTGTGACAATGAGACTGTCACAGGTCGGCTCAGTAGATCGGGAGGTGAGTGAACACATACCGGCGTTCGCTCACCTCTCGATCCTGTCACGGCTCCCTGCCGTGACAGGAGGGGGGCTGGATTCCCCGCTCCGATACGCCAGCGCTGACTGGTGGACAGGACGGGGGAGGGGGCGGGTACAGCTGGCTCTGCCTCTAGATAGGCAGAGCCAGCTGTCACTCATGCAGCTGGGTGGATCCAGACATAATTGTCGGGATCCGTCCCGGCTGCGGCGTCTCAGTATACCGCGAGCTGTAGCTGGCGGTATACTGAGCTTAGGGTGACGGGAGGACGCTAGTTTATGTCCTCCCGTGACCCTGGTCATCAATATTTGGAAAATACGGCGTTATGGTCACTTGATGGAGCTAAGGAGAAGCGGAAGTAGTTATTTCTTACGCTCTCAACTCCCCCTGGTGGCCACAATGTGGTATTACATCACATTGAACCTGAAAATAACGATACTAAGAACGTTCACTTTTGCTTCAATTCGCACGGAACGAACGTTCACAGAGACTCGCTGGGCGACTGGCTCTTAGTGTCTGGGGGAAAAGAGGTTTAATGTCTGCATATAGAAAGACTTCTTCGCAGTAAGAGCTGTGGCAACGTGCAATGGACTCTCTCAGGAATTAGATCTAGCCAGATCAGTTAATTGTTTCCAAAATGAGCTGGCTGTGTTCCTAAATGTATCATTGGCTATTAACCCCTTCCTGACCAATGACAGAATGATCCCGTCACCATCGTTCAGTTCATTAACAACCGGTGACAGGATTATCACGTTATGCGGTACAATGAGCGCTGGTCCGTGGAGAAACCAGCAGCTCATTGAGTTACTACTGTTGATGGGTCCCTCGGGGTCCTAAGCAGACCCTCAATAGCAGATTGGGCGGTGACAGTCCTGTGATCACAGCCAGAGCTGTGACAGTCATACAGCCAGCAGCAGCTCACTGTGTTGTGTGCAGCTGGAGCCGGCTGTGTGTTAACAAACTGATACAAAGTATCTCTGAGGAGAATACTGTATTCTCCTCAGAGATACTAAGTATCAAAGACGGTTGATTGAAGGAATATCCAACCACCTTAAGGGACCAAGAAGGCATTTTTTTCCCCTGTTGGAAAAAATTGGCCTCTCGGGGGGTTGTTGTGCCTTCCTCAGGATTAGCTGTGGGTGTAGTGTTCTGTGTATGCAGGTTTTGATTTATTAATTCATTTTTCTATTGGTTAAACTCAATGTTTTTTTTTCAACCTGACTAACCATTCACAGACATCAGAGTACTGAAATACCTTCACCTCCTTTTCTCTCCAGAAGGACGGGGCCACCTTGTTCAGGCACCATCCAGGGTCACCATCTACTTCCTGGACTGAAATGCCAGTTTACAATCATGACAATCCTGATGTCTGTGCAGTTCTTGGCTGTGTCAGACACAGATTAGCCCCCTGCTGCTCTCACCTTGTGACTGGCTACAAAGTTACAGTGTTGCAGACTGATCACTGGAGGAGGGCAGAGTGAGCTAATGCTTACTCCTGCTTGCAACAGGCTGATGTCATCAGCTCAGCCTAGGCGGTGTCACTGGACTGGAGGTCAAAGATAGAAGGTGGATCTTTTTCTGTTGCTGTATATGGTGGCATGTCAGGAATCTGTTCACGCAGACTTGTAAAGTTTCCGAAAAGTCCAATTATACAAAAAGGTAACGATATCACATTTCCGATGGTTCTATGCCTAGTGCGGATTGTTACAATGACCCCATATTGGGCCCCTGCTGTTGTGGCTCTTTACGTCAGTCCAGTGGCGTAACTATAGCCATAGCAGCCCAGGCGGCTGCTATGGGGCCTGGGGGTGGAGGGGGGCCCCAGTAGGTTGTTGAGACATATTAAACATAGAACCTGTGAAGACAACACTATACTGTAGCATCCTTTTCAAAGTCTACAGTGTAGCTGATGCAAAAGAGGAGTCTTTTGGATCTTTGTTTCATTAGACACATCTCAGAGGACGGTCTTCAGCGGGGCCCCTCCATCACATTTTTGCTATGGGGCCCCGTGATCTGTAGCACTGAATCTGTAGCCTTCAGTGGGGCCCCTCCATCACATTTTTGCTATGGGGCCCCGTGATCTGTGGCACAATGTAGCAAAGCTCTCCATCAGTAAATTTGTGTCACTTTACCGTCATCTCTATCAGTGCGATCTCTCCTCTTCGGCAGGAGTCTCTTCATTACACGCCGTTATCGATTCTTTTAAAGCTGCTGCTCTGAATAAATTGGATCCGTCGAGAATCTGCAGCGCTACAGAAAGGCGCGAGGTGTATCCGTGTCAGTCTGTTAAAAAAAAGGGGAAAAAGTCCAGGATGTCTCTTGTGGGTCACATGACCTTTCCCATCACGGCCGTCACTCGGATAATGATCCGCTGCGCGTGAGTCGGTGTTCTCTAGTTGCAGGGATCAATGTCACCTTGGCTCAAACATGGGGAACTCTAGTATATGCCGCGTACAGAAGAGAAGAGCCGGAGCTAGTGAGGAGAGAGCGCACATGCATGGAGGGAAGTCAATGATTTCCTGCACACTCCAAGTCTTGGAGGAAAGGACAGTGAGGTCTGTAGTTTGGCACATGAAGGTCACCCCACCCCCCCAATGCACACAACTCCCTTTTTATTACAAGTGTAGCCCCCATCACCTTCTGTGAGGTGGCTACTAGTTATTTAGCGATTGCCAGGACTGTAGTCAGTCTGGCTGGATTATAGTGGCATTTATCTGGTTAATTCCAGGTGTCTGGCATTGCCTATACCCCCCTGGGTGGAGTGTGACTCTGTCATATTGTGGGACAGCCAATGAGAGGCAGTGTGAGTGTATGCACAGTACAGCAGCCAATTACTGGGTTTCTCTCAACCAGTGGTGCATTCTGGGATAGGGTACATATAATGGAGCCATTCAGATTAGTTCAGGACCAGTCATGGATTAGCACAGGACTGGGTGCTGTCCAGCCAATCCCCCAGGCTAGGCCTGAGGCCTGGGGGTGGGCTAGGGTTGCCACCTTTTCTTCAAGCCAAACCTGAACACTGTAGCACCTCGCTGCAATGTTTTGGTAAAGCATACACTATGCATATATTTTGTAATTAAATAACATTGGAGGTAATCGCAGCTTTCCAAAAAGTAAAGACGACTTCTTAGGCAATCAGGAAGCCGGGAGGCGGGTCGTGACGTGCCGCCCGGCTTCCTGATTGGCTAGGAGGCAAGCTTCAGTTGGTAGGCAGCCTGGCTTCCTAACCAATTACGAAGCCGGGTGGCACGTCACGACCCACCTCATGGCTTCCTGATCGGCTAGGAAGCCAGCTTCACTGACCAATCAGGAGGCCGGGAGGCGGCTCATTACATGCCACCCGGCCATGGGGAACAAAAGTATCCACCCTCCAGAAGGAAGGACAGTGTCAGCACCAATTCAGAGATGATTTAGAGCCGAGTGATAAGATAAATAAGATACATTGTTGTTCATAGTTAAGATACTTGAATGTAATTTTAAGATTTAACTCCTGAGCTGAGGGTCCCTCCAAGTTCCTTTGCACCAAACTGAACATACTATGGCTTCATAGAGCTGGCTTTGTGCACAGGTGACATGCCGGAACAGAAAAGGACCTTCACCAAACTGTTGCCACAAGCTTGGAAATGTCTCTGCATGGATGAAGCATTAACAGTCCCTTTCACTGAAAACACCCGAACTAGTTCATTTGGAGCTGGGGTGCCCACAAGGTCGATCGCGATCTACCAGTCGATCGCGTAGCGA